ATGAATACTATAACTTGTAGACCCGAAAGTTATTCATTTATGATCGTACGTTGTTCTTAGAAAACAAAAATAATATGCTTTTAGTAGTTAAATACTCATGGAAATATATTGTTACATTGTTAGAAATCCATCACGGGCAGTACAGTTCTTTTTTTTAACACTGAGTCGAGTTTTATTCAACCAAAAGGTACGAGTCGGAGCTACAAAGATTCAGAAATTAAAATCACCAATAGGTGTTGGAAAGACAATAAAAGTTTCAGGTTTCGGAAACCACAGAGGCTCTCAGACCTTAGGATGGCAGTATCATCGTTGCAAGAATTTAAAATTGAGTATTCAAGTGCTCTCATGACGTGTAGTGCACTCTGCATCAATAAGAGCATGAAGCCAAGAGGGACTTTCACGAGCTACATAGGACTGGTATCTATGGTCCTTGGTTACGCTGTTCGCAATCGCCTTAGCACATTTGTTCCCAGAGCTAGTACTGATGTTATACTCCAAACCGCGAAGGAAGATAGAAGATGTTTAATGTCTGCGATTAGGTTTAATATTATACAAACTTGATAGTTTTAAACACCATATACCTAACTATATATGGTATGACCTTCCCTAAATTAGCTGTGAGCCCGAAATAGGCCATGGACTTGGATCTACCAAATGATAAGAATGCCTCTGAGAATGTCCAAAAGAATCCAAAGCATTGGTAAGACATTTTCTCTAACACAAAAAGTGTTTGGGTTCTATATTGGTTTTTCTTTGAGGATGACATTTTATACAATCTTAATGAATGAAATATGGTGTTTTCTATGTCCAAAACATCTGGTTTAAGATATTTAAATTCGAATTTCGATCATTTTTTCTTTCTTTTGGGGGATATGTGAATGGTAATATCAAAAGTAAGATTATAATATAAAATATGGATAGTTTGTATAGTTATGATTTTGGTTCGTATTCGAACTTTAATCAAATATAGTTATATACTATTAATTTCCAAATTCAGTATGGTTTGGATTACTATTTACTACAATGCAGAAAAACTTTGGAAAGAAAATAAAATAAAATTTCATCAATATCAATTAGGATCAGAACTGTCTCCTTTTTTAAGAAGAAAAAAACTATATCAATTTGGCTTTCAAAACAGCATAAGTTTCGATGAACCATTGTCAACATAACATTACTAATGTCCACAGAAATCAGTTAAATGAACTAAAATTATTTCTCATACAAAATTCCAGTGAAATTATCCTAACAAAACCAATGAAAACTCAAGTTTAATATTTGTTCAAAATTTCAAAAGAAACACATGAACGGATTCGACTCAATATACTCTCCACGAAATAATGCAACATAAACCTCTTTCTTCTACAACGTGAACCTCTTTCGAGTTTTATGCTTTCTTTTCTTCTTGCTTCTCAAATCCCATTCCAAACCCCTTGAACTTTAGAATATGCCATAAGCTCACAGCAATGTGTACACCACATAATTCAAGACCAAGATCACCAATATGCGAAAAAATTACATATTTAGACAGATCATCATAAAGTTATTGAAGATATAGACAAAGTGAGTTTAAGAAATCCACACAAATACACTTATAATTTTTATTTAAATCCATTGACTCAAAATTTATTTTGATGTTAGCCTAAACAATATACAAAGGAGGCAAAAGGAAGCGAATCTATTCTATAGCCGATATGAAGAAATACGTAATAGAAAATTGAAACTCTTAGATGTTGTTATGTTACAATTTTAATGATTGATTAAGAAATATTACGCTACTTAGAGTATCAAAAAAAATATAGTCTCCGTAAAATTCATCAACACAAATTATTTGTGATAAGTGAGCTCACCATAGATTGTTTCTCATCATTCAATTGCTTATTTACTTGAGGAGAATTTTGAGCTTCCCAAGTTCACGATCAAGCTCTTTAATCAACCTAACGTGTTACCAAAGAAATCGCGCTCCAGTCTATTACCTTGAAAGAACGGTTTAAAATATCGTCAGGGATTAGTATCTCCTGCTTCTGAACATCGGAAATCGGCTCTTCGTTACCTCCTAATGTCCCACATAACAATAAAAGTTCCTTGCCTCGCAAGTTAACTCCATAGTGTACTCCTTTCTCATCCATAGAAAGTCAAAAAACCGTTAATTAAATTTTTTTTTTTTTCGTTCACAATTGTTTATAACAGACATGTTTCGTTCACCATCGTCGGTGGCGTCGCTGGATCTTGATTTATATGATAAACCAGAAGACCGAAAACAGAAAAAGATCGTAATGACCTTAATGGCCTTTTTCATCATGTTCAAGAAACATCAGCTTCCCGTTACAATACCACCATGCAGTTTCAATTCCGCCAACAATTATATCGACATTAACCAATGTATCATGTAGTTTCAAAGAGTTAAAAAAAAAAGGGTTAAAACATCTTATTAATAGTTTGAAATTTATCATTGTTGAAATTTGTCATGCGAGCACTTGTTATTTCTCTTTGGTTGGAGACTTTCTTTTTCTTCGTACTCTAAAACAAAAGAAGACAATCACACAAAGTTAAGTTTTGAAGGAATGAAGACGGATCATGACCTATTTTACTGCTCCCCCAATCAGAAAAATCAAGGTGAGACAATGGCAAATAACCCATCCATAACCTTCCAATAGACCCCGATTCAAGAACTGATTTTAGCATTCAAAGATCAAAACTAATTTTGAAGAAATCGGAGATTATAGCCAAAGTATGTCTAAAATCCAAGTCAGAGCTCCCGGTCAAACCATAAACAAAGATAAGTTAGCCATTAAACAAACCAAAGAACCACAAAACCAAACAAAGGATAATTTCAACACGAGACATAAGTTAAAGGAAATCAGAGACAAGACGAAGCAAAACCAAGAGCCAATCCGAGGCAAAACCATCACAACTCGTCCTTGAAGCAAACCCTAACTCCCCATGACAACGAGAGGTGAGAAGAGAAACCAAATCGTAAGGAGAAAATGACATCTCTTCACCTGGAAAAACGAACCCTTCACCACAGCGTCCAGATCTGGCTCAGCCTCTACCACCACCTAAGGCCTACCCCCGCCGGATCACTCACCCCTCCGACCCAAGTCTTTTGCAAATAAATTATTCTTGGAGACTAAAACTGTGGTTGTAACCGAAAAGACTAAGATAAGACAAGTAAAGAGTAAAAACAAGGGTTTCCGACATCGATGCTGTGTTAGCCACCGACCGCCGGAGCCAAACGCGGCAAATCGAGAAGGGAAACTGTTGGGCGGCTAGGGTTTTATCGCCAAGGAGCAGCCGTATTGCAATCACTACTTGGTGAAAAAAAAAGTGTGTATATGTGATATGTGATAATATGTGATAATAAGTTTTGAAAAAGTGTGTACGAATGTAATTATTCCTAATTTAATAAAACGAATTAAAAACATAATTAGCGAACAAGAAAATTTAAAAAAGAGAGGATATTATTCTTACACTTTAAGAGGAATGTCTCTGTGTAGACACGTGCCAAAAGTGAAAAAGACAGAACAAATAAACTCTCCGACGTCAGAATTGCGTCACTGTTTCTTCCAATTTCGTTGGCTTGAAGTTAAGGGAAACATAATTCTTTGTTCCAGCCAAAAGTAGAACGTTGAAGATAATTAAATTTTGTGGTAGATATATACTTCTTTAAAACAAATCAAAAGCTGTCTTCTTAATTAATCTACCCACAAATTTGGTTTCTTGGTAGGGTTTATGCTCTTAAAAACTGAAACTTTTCTTTAAGAAAAAAACAGTGAGAGGTTTCGAAATCTGAGCTTGTGGGTGTGTGAAATTCCCCAGATTAGATGATGGGTTTTGGGTTTCTATGATCGATTTTGTGTAAAGTATTGATTTTTGTCAAGAACAGAGATAGAAAGTCTAGGTCTCTTTGTTCAAGTTTGTGTTTTGGTCAATGAAGAAGATGATTGGGATTCCTGGAACAATGAGTGGACTGATATTGAGATTAGGTCAATGTGCAACTGCTGCTACTTCGATTGGTGTTATGGTTTCTGCTCCTGGCTTCTCTAGTTACACTGCTTTCTGGTAAATTTTCGATTTCTAAATCTAAAAGTTTTTCTCTTGTTGGTATGTTTATAATCAAGATTTTGTAGCAAGATCGATCTCATAGTTCTTTTGTGCTTTGGTGTAGTGAGATTTGAATATTAGTGTACAAAAGATCTAAATTTGAAGTTAATGAAACTTTTGTTGGGTAATGGGATTGTTGTAATACTTATGATTTCAGCTTCTTAGTTGCATCTATGGGACTTCAAATGATATGGAGCTTTGGACTTGCGTGTCTTGACGTATATGCGATAATGCGAAAATGTGATTTACAAAGTCCCATCTTATTGAGCCTTTTCACTGTTGGTGATTGGGTACTAAATTCTATCTTCCTTTTCCTTATATACCAAACAGAGTTTCATTAGCAATGGTTTTGGTTAGATGTTGTTGTTTTGATAGTTTTTCTTTTGGAATTCTGCAGGTCACTGCACTTCTTTCTCTTGCAGCTGCTTGTTCATCTGCAGGAGTTACGGTTTTATTCACAAAAGATACTGAGTTTTGCAGGCAGCAACCTGCTCTCTCTTGTGATAGGTTTCAGATTTCGGTCGGTTTTGCTTTCTTTAATTGGATTTCGGCTGCTATATCGTCTCATGCAATGTTTTGGATCTTGATATGATATTTGAACAAACCCAAAAATCCATTTCTACGAATCGTTTTCTTTTCTTTTATCCAATTCATCTTGAGTACAAAGTCATTTTGGTGAAAATCCTAAGACAGCTGTGTCTCAGTAACCTCTTGTGACAGAATATTGATGATGTATTCGATCTCATCAGCAACTTCTTTCATCGAAGGCCGGTTCTGTCTCCGCTCGTTAAGGCATGCGGATGCTAAATTCCCGAGCTGTTGCATTGTCTGCAGCTCAAGCTTGGTAGCAGTCTTCTTCAGTTGCGGATCGATGCATTCAATCAATCTCTCTTCGTCCATCATCTTGTTAACAAACATTACCAGGTTCACATCTTCCTCTTCTCTGCTGAAATCTATCGCCTTTTTCGATGTAACTATCTCTAGAAGCACAACTCCGAAGCTATACACGTCGCTCTTATCGGTTAGCTGGAAATTCCGGTAGTATTCTGGATCAAGATAACCCAATGTACCTTGTGCACCCGTGAAGATATGGCTCTCGTTATTAGCGGCTTCAGTTAAATCCACGAGCCTCGAAAGCCCGAAGTCTGAGACTTTGGCATTTAGCTTGTCATCGAGCAAAATATTGCTTGATTTTACGTCACGGTGGTAAATTGGTGGCATTGCTGCGGAATGGAGATAAGCTAAGCCTTCAGCGGTTTGGTATGCAATCTGCAGTCTTCGCCGCCAAGTTAGCGGTTTCCAGTGATGCTCTGAGTTGCTATGGAGATGGTCAAATAGCGTACCGTTGGAAATAAACTCGTAGATCAAGAGAGGCAATTCAAGATCGACACAACAGCCAAGTAGCCTAACTAAGCTTCTGTGATTGACTTGGCAGAGAATACGGACTTCGTTTAGGATTGGATCAGTGCCTTTCGTGTTATTAAGCTTTGCTCGTTTGATCGCTGTTACGGTACCATCATCAAGAACAGCTTTAAACACTTCACCGAAACCTCCGGTGCCTATGAGATTGTCTTTTGAGAAATTGTTGGTTGCTTTTGTGATTTCTCTGCCGGTGAAGATTCTTGATGATTTTCCGGTGGAATTTGCGCTAAGCATCTCTTCTCGCTCCTTGACGATGTTCTTATGGATCTCTCTTTTAACCTTATTGTGGCCCTGTTTATGTGCAAGAACCGCTACCGCAATTGCGAGTGTAACTCCCACAAGAGCAGCAGCCGTACCTTCGAGAGAAAGAAGTTAAAATGAGTTCGGTTCAGCTGCAAAAAACTTTGGTTTCTGATTCGATATAAATATCAATTCTTTGTACCTGCGAGAACAATGGTCTTCTTCTTTTTCTTGCAGTGTTTCCCATGGCGACATTTACCACCTAAAACAGGTATGTCAAGAACTAAGCAAACACAAATTTTATTATTCAAGAAATTTGATTTTAGTCGCTCACTTTCTATACGGTTTACTTACATATTGCGTTAATCGGATCCCATTCCAAACCCTTTTTGCAGGAGCATCGTTTCAGACCGAGACTCGTCGGGTCAGGCAAGCACTTTGATTTACCTAACAAGAGGTTACAATCTACATCTGTTTTGCAAACTGGTTCCTTAGGCAATGCCCATTGCAACTCCAGCCCTGGGTCGGGCCATTTTTTCCCGGGAGGAGGAACTTCTTTGTTTGGATCCAACCCCACAAAACTCTGGTACGCAAGACATCCTCCACCGTTGATCTTGATTGTGTAAGCGGTTTGAGACCCATCGGTTCTAAAGGTGCAACAAAATGGAGCCTTAGAACAAGCTGGTGCATTGTTCTTGATGTAGCTGTGGCATAAGCTGGTCACTGTACAATCTATTGGCGCCTGCAGACCCCAAAATCTCTTGGTCAGGCCTGAAAACCGGGTTTCAGCACATTTTAACCGAAATCTAGTTTCATTCAAACTTATAAAGCAGTCTTGAACGTTTTAACCGAACCGAATTAACTCGAATATCAAAATAACCAAATCAAACCGAATTGAACTATGTGAAGCCTACTCCTAGTGAAACAGATTAACCGGAAACATGTGCTTGATCCAAAAACCGGTTCAAACTAGAGAATAAGCAGAAAAGAAAAATTGCTTTACCTGGAGCATAGCCTCAGGGCAACTAAGCAACAAGATAGTGTTGCTAGTAGTGATACTGAAAGGGAGATGCGGGTCGAGCTCAAGGCCCGCTTTAGAGACATCACCCGAGAGACAAGATCCGGAGCTAGCAAGACCGGGTGGGCGTAGAACGATCCGCTGGGACACCGGGTTGATGGACGTGATGAGATACGATGAACCATGAAGAGCGCCAAAATACAGCTTACCCGCGACACAATTTATCTTGTAAGCCTGATCGCCACAGTTTGGACCCGTGCTTAGCGGGTAAGGTACAACCATGGGTCCACAGTTTGGACACTGTGGTGGTCCGGCCATGGGATGCTTAGCCTTAGCATGACGGGCACAAGAATGGCCCGCACATGCTAGCCATACTGATACGGTCAAGAGAGTTGGTATCAATACGGCGTAGTATGATCGCCTCTTCTCCATTTTGGTAAATTGATTAGAGTGGATAGAATTAGTAGTGAACAAAAGATGTGAAGAAAGGTTTAGGTTATGTATACTAATGAAAGTTTC